TTAAATGTATTTAAGATTTTTTTTTTCTGGTTTTAAAATCAACTGTTGTACTTTAAAAATGTGCCTGCAAATTCTTTGATACTTCTCCATTCAAAAGGTTGAAACTATTCCCCTTCCTTTGAATGAGGGCCAGACTTAGTGACTCGCTCTAATGCATAGATGACGGTGGGAGTTCTGCTGTGTGGCTTCTGAGGCTAGATCATAAAAAAGGAAAGCTTTCATCTTTTCTCTCTCTTTCCCTGATGGTTTGCTCTGGGGTAAGTCAGTCACCCTGTGTCTGGAGGTCACTAAAGCAGCACTCAGGAAACGACCACACAGAGAGAAACTGAGACCTCCTAACGACAAGCGATACCAACTTGTGGGCCAGATCCTCTATCCCCAGTCAAGCCTTCAGATGACTGCAGCTGACTAATGCTAACGGAGTCCCATGAGAGACCCCAAGCCAGAACATCATCCATGTCACCCCCAAATTCCTGGTACACAGAAAAGGTCACAGATAATGAATGTTCATTGTTGTTTTATACCACTAAGTTTTGAGGAAATTTGTTTGACAGCAATAGATAACTAATACATGTGCCAATCTTCCCCTTGAGAGAAGTGGAGAAATTGAGTGAAAGAGGAAACTTTCAGTTTTTATTTTTTACCTTTTGACATTATACATTTCAGGATTGTTTGGATTTATTTCTAGTCTTTTGTATGTAAAGACAGGGAAAGAAATAAGTTAGTTTTAAGTGTACTGAGAAATTTTTTTTTCTGATTTTAAAAGTAATGCTAGTGAAAAGGCACAAAGGTAGAGGACAGACACCACCCAACTTCAGTACTTACTATAGGGCTACAATGATTAAGGCAGTGTGGTATTGGAGAAAGAACAGAAAAATATATCAATGGAACAGAAAAGAGAGCCCAGAAATAGAGCCACACAAATATAGCCAACTGTTACTTGAGAAAGGCACAAAGGTAATTCAGTGGAGACAAGGTGGTCTTTGCAACAAATGGTGCTGGAACAACCAGGCATCCACATGTAAAAAACCAAAAAAATTAATCTAGACAAGTTGTAAGGTGAGTACCTTACAACCTTTACAAAAAATCAACTCAAAATGGATCATAGACCTAAATGTGAAACATAAAACTTCTAAAAGATAACACAGGAGAAAATCCAGGTGACTTCAGGTTTAGCAATGAGTTTTGGGGTACAACACTCAAAGCATGAACCATGAAAAAAATTCATAAGTCAGACTTCATTACAATCAAAAACTTCCGCTTTGCAAAAGATACTGTTAGGAGAATGAAAAGACAAACCAGAGACTTGGGAGAAAATATTTGCAAAACACATACCTGATAAAGGGCTTGTATCCAAAATAGACAAAGAACACTTAAAACTTAACAGTAAGAAAACAAACAGTCCAATTTTTTAAAAGGGCAAAAGATGTAGACAGACACTTCACCAACAATGATATACAGAAGGCAAATAAGCATACAAAAACACGCTCGATGTCATTTGTCATTGGGGAATTGTGAATTAAAACAACAATGAGATTCTACTGCACACATATTAGAATGACTAAAACAACCAAAAAACAAAAAACTGACAATACCAAATGCAGGTGAGGATGTGGAGCAACAGAAACTCTCATTCATTGCTGGTGGAAATGCAAAATGATACAGCCACTTTAGGAGCCAGCTTGACAGTTTTTTACAAAGGTGAAAAATAGTCTTACCATATGATCCAACAATCACGTCTAGATTGTATTTATCCAAATGGGTTGAAAGTGTATCCTCAGAAAACTTGAACACAGATGTTTATAACAGTTTTATTCATAACTGCCAAAAACTGGAAGCGACCAAGATGTGTTTCAGTAGGTGAATTGATAAATAAGCTGTGGTACATCCAGATAACGGAATATTATTCAGTGATAAAAAGAAATGAGCCATGGAGCCACAAAGACAGGGAGGAGCCTTATGTGCGTATTACTAAGTGGAACAAATCAACCTGAAAAGGCTACACACTGTATGACTCCAACTGCATGACATTCTGGAACAGACAAAACTATGGAGACAGTAAAAAGCTTGGTGGTTGCCAGGAATTAGGGGGGTTTACAGGTGGAGCACAGGGGATTTTTAGGGCAGTGAAACTCTTCTGTATGATGTTGTAATGGTGGACACATGGCATTATGTTAATATAATACATCTGTCAAAACCCACAGAACATACAACACTAAACTATGGACTCTAGTCAGTAATAATACATCAATATGGGTGCATCACTTGTAACAAATGTACCCCATTAATACAAGATGTTAATAATAGAGGAAGCTGTGATGGCAGAGGGTGAGAAGGGGTATATAGGAACTTCTGTACTAGCTGCTTGATTTTCTGTAAACCTAAAACTGCTCTAAAAATGAGTCTACACTCATTTTTAAATGAGTTTAAAAAAACATTGGTCAACTGAAGGAAAAGTAGAAGTAAGATAATACAGCCATACATGGTCTCGATAGAAAGATTATCATGGTTAACACTTAGGCACAGTTCCTTCTAGTCTTTTTTCAAATGTCTACATATATTTTCTCTTTTTTTTTTGAAAGCACTCTGCTAAATTCATTCTGAAGGTTTATAGTTTGGTTTCAGTTGGATTTTTAACCGCAAAGAAAATAGCCCATATAAGACATCAGTGATACCAAAAACAGATTCTAAAGGGGCCAGTTGCTATGGGAATGATTAAAAATAAATTTTATTTCACACTACACCCTGCTAATGTATTGACCAGAAGGAAAGAGAAATATTTGGAGTAACTTAAAAGAGTAGCCAAGAAAACTTCTAATCAAGGAGAAGGAAAATACATCAGCCTGGTGCAAGGTTTCCAAGAGGCCGGGAGGATCGCCCTGCAACTTAACTAATCTTGCTCCTTCAGCAACCACGTCAATGGCAGGGACAAGCACCTGGGAATCAGGGACCAGACTGGACTCTCTCTCTCCTTCACTGGTAGTCTGACAGCCAAAGGCCAGTACGTTTCCTTTAGTTTGCGGGCTGTCTGTGCAGACTGGTGCAGGGCCAGGAAAAAATCGCCCTTTCCCTCCAATAGAGATGTTCCAAATATTTAGCAAGCTGCAAGGCCCAGGCTTCAGGTGATCAATATGGACACCACGTCGGCCCTTAGCACTGGAGTAGGTCCAGGCCACTGGGTAGGGCAGTCTAGGGGTTTTTGGAGAGGGACCAGGATGCCAGAAGGCAAAGGACATTCAGGGAATTCAGGGGAGTGACAATTTTCCAACAGAAGAAATTTTACATGTGAGGAAGCGGTAAGGCCAGATCACTGAATTCTGACTTTCCTACAACCAACATTTTTATAAAAAACCTGTTTAGAGACAGCAGGGGCAGCCTCAGAGGGGAAGAGCAGAGTTGCTATCACAAAAAGACTGCACATGGTGTGAAAACAGTTCCAGCTTCTCACCTCAGGGAACAGCTCTCCTTGAGCATCAAATAGATCTATTTTCAAATCCCAGCTCTGCCATCCATCACCACAAACTATATAATATTTGAGCCTCAGTTTCCTCATCTGTAAAATGGGTATAATTGTTCTTATCTCAAGAGGTTACGGTAAGGATTAAGTAACATAAGCCATGAAAAGTGCCAAGCACAGGGCCTGATACATAGCAAGTGCTCAGTTAAATGCAGTTGCCACGACCACCACCACCACCATCATCACAGGGTATTGTCTGTGCTGCAGATTTTTAAAAAAATACATCTCGTGGCCCCAGCTCCCATTCCCTGTCCATATTCCAATGTAGGTACCTGATCACGACTGCCATATTAAAGACAGAATCCCTGAAGTGCAAAATATTGAGCAATTACCATTTTTCTACAGTATCCTAGGAATAGCTCTGTACTCCAGACAGGAGCAAAGACTTTTTTTGTTTGTTTTTGTTTTTTTTTTTTGAGACAGAGTCTCACTTTGTTGCCCAGGCTAGAGTGAGTGCCATGGTGTCAGCCTAGCTCACAGCAACCTCAAACTCCTGGGCTCAAGCGATCCTACTGCCTCAGCCTCCCGAGTAGCGGGGACTACAGGCATGCGCCACCATGCCCGGCTAATTTCTTCTATATATTTTTAGTTGTCCGATTAATTTCTTTCTATTTTTAGTAGAGACGGGGTCTCGCTCTTGCTCAGGCTGGTCTCGAACTCCTGAGCTCAAGCTATCGTCCCGCCTTGGCCTCCCAGAGTGCTAGGATTACAGGCGTGAGCCACCGCGCCCGGCCAGGAGCAAAGACTTTTGATGCTGAACCAGCCCAAACCACAAGGCTACAAAGTTATGGACACCCTGGTAATAGGTTCTCAGTCAAGGCACAAGAATTTAGGATTAGAGTTGCCAGGCATCCTGAAGTATGAAAAAAACCCAGGGTTAGATTAAACAGTGATTGGTTGCAAATATATGATACCATTTCCAAATGATACAAAACTATACCTGGCTATTTATTGTCTCTGAGTTTACTTAATGGATTCATATTTTTATTTGGAAAAAAATTTAACACCAAAAACTATAAATAATAAAACGTATATCTGTTCCCATCTCCCCGAAATGACAGTTGTTAACATTTGTTATATTTACGTCGGGTCCTTTAAAACAAAAGAAAAAAGATATAAACTATGACAGATAAAATTAAAGTCTATTTTATTCCCTACCCACATATCTATTTCTTGCCCATTCTCCCAATCACCGTTATGAATTTCATATTTATTCATCCAGTTCTGCCTTTTTGTTTTACCTACATTTTCTGGCTTTTTTTTAAAAATGGAAAGTAAATAAAAAGAACACGTGGAAAATGTGTGAAGAGAGGCTTCCAGACCCTCGAAACTGCACCGGGACTCACCTGCACACGCGATCCAGGAACCGCCCACGCTACCTGGGAGTAACGCCTATGGTGGGGGGAGGGGGGGATGTAGTCTGCAAACGCACACCTATAAACATCTACAAAGCAGGGCAAATCCATAAGGCTATATGGCTTACCTGGGTCCAGGTGGGTGAAGGAGCCCACCACAAAGTCCAGCGTGGATACGGCCAGCAGGAGCAGAAGCAACAGCTGGAGGCGGATTATCCACTTGACACCCGCTAGGTTAATCCCCAGCAAGGCCAGAAGCACCACAACTGAAATTCCTCGCACAGCCCAGATATTCCTGAGGCCCAGCAAATCTGAGATGGATTCGGCAAAGCCAGTGATGTACATGGCACCTGCAACACACTGACAGGCAATTCCAGGTGGGAAGCGTCATCAAGAGGGGAGAGAACCAGGAGCCCACAGGCAGAACCGCCCAACACCGAGAACCCTGCCCCCCATGGACACACTCACTGGCAGCCGGCTCAGCACCTGGGACCCAGCGTGGGGTTAAACCGGCCCTTCCCACCTGGGAGCCTGCCTCGCCCCATTTCTGCTCTGTATCTTCACCAGAGAATGGAGGCCGAGTCCAAGCTGAGAGCTGGTAACTAAGATGAAAAGACTACGGGAGGAAGAGGCCAAAGAGGCCTTTCAATTTCTCTGTCTGCGTTATTCAAGAACTATTAATAAATATAGAACAAGAGCACATGGGGTGCTTATCTACAGAGTCATAAAAGGGCACTGCAGCAAATGACAGTTTTTTTCTCCATGTCTTTGTAGGTCAGTATTATTTTTAAAATTATATAAAACTTGGAAATAGAAAAAAAAACTTGGCACACCCTTTTCAATGTCGTACGTGACAAAGGCTACCCAAGGACTACCTAGGTGAATGTATTTAGTTTGACTTACCATTTGCTATTGATTAAATGTATAAATGTCCCAAACTTAATGAAGTTACATATTCACTTATAGATTTTTTTTTAAGTAGGGATGCAAATAACTTCTGTCCAGTGGTACAGATAACCCAAAAGATTAGGGTTTGTTGTCCTGTAAGACATTAACTGGTTTTGTATCTAACCCAGCATTCTTATCCTTACATTTATTTATTAAGTTATCTAACTATGAATTTATGACTTTGATCTCTATCCATCTAGTATCCTTCTCCATTGCTCTTTAACATTTTACTGGCTCCTCCACTAATTCAGGCATTAAATACATCTTTGGTACATATTTATTTTAAAATTGCCTAAGAATCATAATTTCACCTTTTTGAACTATTCAAAAGATCATTGCAAATTAAATAGCTGAAAATAACACCAGCCTCACTTTCCATGATTCCTCAGCTTCAGCCCCCTTCTCTCCTGGGTTTGTCCCTTCACTGTCCCCAGGTCCAACTGATCACTCTCACCACTGTAGCCCTGCCCTTGCCGTTCTCCCAGGGAACAAATTCTATCGGGGCCTCATTCAAGTCCCTCCTTTCCCATGAAGCCTTTCCTCATCCCTCTTTTTTAAATAAATATCATGCTCACTGCCAGTGTCATATTTATTTAGATAATTATCTGGTTCCATATTCTGTTATCATTTCACACATATACGGTTGTCTTTTCCCTCCCACCACCAAGGATGCAAACATCTTAAAACAATTTTTACGCTGATTACACCTCTTAAAATACCCTGCATCTGCTAGGCACGCTGTAAGCATTCAATAAACACTTTGTGATATGCTGACCGTGTGAAAAGCGCTGTGGGAAGCAGGCACCACGACGTTCCAGCCCTTTTGTATAAAGGCCAGAGGGTGATAATACGACTTCTGTATTTGAGGGGGCTCGTGAACAAGGCCGTTCTTCACTGAAACCAGCTCGCTTTGCAAGTAGGTGTATAACATTTTTGTCAGCATTACCCACATTTACACATTTAGCTTAAACTGTTATTCCAGCCCTTCCACTATCCCATAGTGACAAGCATTTCTATCCATCTTTGGGTGAAGGGGGAAGCCCAAGAAATGTGGGGCGAATACAATCATCTAGGAGACAGAGAGAGAGAGAGAGAAGGAGAGAGGGAGGGAGGGAGGGAAGGAAGGAGAGACCTATGTTTTCCCACATTTGCCTCAAAACTCAAGAGTTGCCCCTGACTCAACACCAAGAGTGATGGTGACAATGATGTTATTTCATCAGTATATGGCCAGGTCAACAGGAGTCATGGTCAGATTTATCTAAATTTTAAACAACAAATGACAAAAATGTATTCATGATTATCATTTACATGGGCACCTCCTTCCCAGGTGTCTGACGTCTCTAACACGCCGAGAATGAGGCCAGAACTTGAATGTGATCATTCGCATCTGGAGTTTCCAAATCTATTTTCTCTTCTTGCAGCAAAATAGAATTTGTTCACATGAGGCAGGCCAAGCTGTAAATGTGGCCTTTTGTTCCCAGTAATTCCAGTAGAATCCCTCTTTCAGGTTTGTACCTAACATTGCTTTTTAGCCCAAAGACGCCACCAACAATAGCACCAAAAAAAACCTCTTCAAGACGCTCATAAGAGCATGGTGGTGAGGAGTGCAGGGACACAGGCCAAAGCCTTGTGACTTGAGAAAGTGTTTTTACTTCTCTGTGAAACATAGACAATAATAGTACTTACTTCAAAAGGTTACTGTGAGATTTAAATGAATAATTTAGGTAAAGTCCTAGAACAATATTGGGCTCATAGAGTTATAGAAATAATAGCACCAGCATTATCATTATTACTTTGTTATTATTTGCTATTGGAGAAGAGGACACAGTAGCTAGCTAAGAATATCCAAATATACTTTTTTGGGGAGGCCACTAAAAACAATACTTTGTTAATGCCAAATAGAAAATGGTGATGACACTGGGAATTTGCAACATAAGTTGTAAATAAGGATTCTTGAAACCAAAGAGACTTACTTTAAGGGAAAGCAAGAACAGTCTAAAATTAACCTATCTTTTCAAAATCTAGGAGTTTGAGAATATGAGGTGAGAGTATTTATGGAGAGTGGGAAAGTAAAGATGTCGTAGAGATTTCATAATTGGTCAGTGGAGGAGCTAGTAAACAATGTGTCTTGGCTGGGAAGTATAGAAAAAGTATAAAAGAAAAATATAAGTTTAATCATGGCTTCTCAGGGTAGAATATAACTGCTAGCAGAATTAAAAACTGAGTAGAACTTCCAAATCAACAAAAATGCAACAGAAATAAATTTGGCCCATAATGGCCAAGTCAGGAGAAATAGGAAATAAAACTTCAAATTATCTAGAAATTAATGAAAAGGTGAATATTTTATTCTAAAACTCAAGAGGCACAACTAAAGTTGTATAAAAAAAAAAAAGCAAGCCAGGCACAGTGGCAGGCACATGCCTATGATCCCATCTACTTGGGAGGCTGAGGCAGGAGGATCACTGGAGCCCAGGAGATTGAATCCAGCCTGGGCAACATAGCAAGACCCCATCTCTATAAAAAATAAATAAATAAACAGAAGAAAAAAAGTATATCTTAAATTTTTTATTAGTTAAAAAGGAAGAAGAGTAGAGGAAAAAATTTAACTTAAGAAATCATGAAAAGATCAATGTAAATAAAAAGAGCGTAGAGAGAAGTATTTAAGGAAATATGAAATTAATGAAATAGAAGAAAAATAACAAAAGAAAAAATACAAAAAATGAAAGCTGATCCTTTAAAAAAAACAATTGGATAGATAAGCCTCTGGCAGCCTGATTAAAAACAAAAGATAAAATGCAAAAATATAGACTTATTAGGAATAAAAAAGGAATAAAACTACTCATACATTGAAAGTAAAAGAATGAGTATAGAATTGTGCCATAAATTACGGTATATTAATATTATACAACATTAAGCAACCATTTAAAAAACATTGGTTTAAAGCATTGACCAATAAGAAATGTCTATGACTTAATGTCAAGTGAGAAATACAAGCCATGGAATAGACTATGAAATTTGTCCCCATTTTTATAAAAACAAGCAAAAGCATTATATACAAAATATAATAAGTGTATGTAAGCAGAGGGAAAGGTGTTTCCATTGGTCACCTCAAGGGTGTGGAGGAAACTCTTTCTCTACATTCTCTCCAATGTGTTAACTGGCTACGATGTATATCGTTTTGTAATTGTCAAAGCCTTTTATAAAGGAAAAAAATAAAAGCAAACATATTAAAAGTACTATTACGTTCATGCAAAAACGAAATTGGGGTACATTATAGCCCAGTCCAGCTACGTTTAGGGAAGCAGCCCAGTACTCAAGGCCTTCGCCTACACTCGGCTCCCGAGAGTCAACACAGGACTGGTCTGAGCGCCCATCACCCCTTGGGCCAAGTGTGGACATTCGGGGACGGCCAGGCCTTGCCCAGAGCAATCCAACTACCCTAGATGCATCTACTTCCCAAACTGAATACGCTCTTACTTGGAAAACACTCCTGGCAATTTGTTTAATGTGTAAACATCTCCAGAGTTCATTCTATTTTAAAAGTATCTTTATTTCCTCCTAAAGTTTATAATCACAGCCATTCCTTTTCCTTTTTCATTCTCTACAGACAAATTTCTAACTCCCTGTCACAATAGGCAGGGTGTGTTGCCCACCATTTTAAAGAGAGAAGGTGGCCTATTTCCAGGGTGCAATATCTCCATTCTGAGGAATTTGCTTTAGCAATATTGCCCATTCACAATCATAGGCATTTTTCCTTTCATCTTTGAGTACCTACCAAGAGGACCAGAACTGCCCCTCAACACCCCCCCCGCTTCTGACGCAAACTCCCTGATTTAAGGTCAAAGTTGGTGAATTAACACTTATGTCCTGCATATGTGTTCATTCCCATAACAAAAACTCCAGGCCTATATCAGGTCTATAAAACTTTCCAATCCTCCATTGCCTTTGTACAGAGTCCAGCACAGAGCATGTTAGCCACTAATAAATGCTTTTAGACATATCAGTGCGGGCTGAAGCTAGACATTTCGGTGTCCGGGGTAAGCAACCCTAAAGAAGCCCTCGGGCCCACACAGGTGAGTGGAGCAGGGAATGGTCCCACAGAGCAGGCCTGACACCAAGGCCTTGGAGAGAGGAGGGAGGAGGGTTCTGGAGGGTGCAGGGCAATAACAAGATCTTGTAAGCATTTAAAATCATTATTTTAAGTGTGTGTATCTCCTAAATGTTGATGCTCTAGGGCAAGGGTTGGTAAACATTGGCCCACTGGGCAAATCTTGCGTGCTGTCTGTTTTGGTAAACAAAGTTTTATTGGGACACAGCTATGCCCATTTTTTTTATTATGTTGCCTATGGCTGCGTTCACACTACAATGGCAGAGTTGGGCTGTTGCGACAGAAATATATGACCCACAAAACCCAAAATGTTTACTATCTGGCCCTTTACAAAAGTTGTCAACCTCTGTTAGGGGCAAAACCAGGCAATCTGCTCTGGCAATCATTAAAAATAAACGAATGCACTCATGCCCTGGGAGGAGGCATGAGGGGCTATTAATAACAAGACTAGGGCGCCTCGGAAACCTCACCCACACCCTCAAAGAAGAAAGAGCTCACATCCATAACCTAGTCTGTCACCTAAAGAAACTAGAAAAAGAAGAGCAAACTAAACCCAAAGCAAGCAGAAAGAAGGAAATAATAAAGATTAGAACAGAAATAAATGAAATAGAGATGACAAAATAACAGAGAAAAATCAACAAAGCCAAAAATTGGGTTTTTTTGCAGACAAACCTTTATCTAGACTGACAAAAAAAAAAGAAGACTCAAATTGCTAAAATCAGGAATGAAAAGGGAGACATTACTACCAATCTTACAAAAATAAAAGGGATTATAAGGGAATCATAATTAATATGCCAATACATTAGATAACAGATGAAATGGACAAATTCCTAGAAAGATACAAACTATCAAAACTGAAGAAGAAATAGAAAATCAGAATGTGTCTAAATAAGCAAAGAAATTGAATTAGTAATCAAAAAGCTTTCTATAAAAAAAAGCCCAGGACCAGATGATTTCACTGCTAAATTCTACCAAATGTTTAAAGGATGAACACCAATCCTTCACAAACTCTCCCCACCCCCCCCAAAAAAAGAAGAGGAGGGAACACCTCCCAACTCATTCTATGAGGCCAGTATTATCCTGACACCGAAACCAGACAAAGACATCACAAGAAAATTACAGACCAACATCCCTCATGAGTAGGTACACAAAAACCCTCAACAAAATACTGAACAACCAAATTCAGCAACATATAAAAAGGATTATACAGTAACCACACCTTGACCAGAGACTCCTGGCCCAGGTCAGCTTCAGGTGAAGCAGAGGCACCCCAAGATGCCCCCAGGGACGGAGGCCAGATGGAAAGGCAGGCAGAACGCAGGGAGGCTGATGCAATGGCCTCCCAGGCTGTGGCTGCCATCTTATTTGCGAACATCTTTCCTTCCAAATCAGCCCACATAAGGGAGACTCTCAATGATCCAGCTCTTTATCCAGGGGGTTCAGCCTTGGTCCCGCCTGTGGGACCTGCTTCTAGAGGCTAGCTTGTTGTCTGCCGGAGAGTGGGAAAATGAGGACTTTGCCCATCTTGCAGCCTACTTGGCTATAAAATAGCAGAGAAGTTAAAAAACAAAAAAAAACTATATACAAATCCCCAGGGTAGTTAAAGTAAACTGATCACTTATTACCTCTCAAAGTACTATACTTAAAGATCTTTCTCCAGTAAAGGCAAGTGCTTTTTGAGAGTGCGGTGACAATCTGTCTGCCTTCCCTGCATCTGTCCTAGACACACACACCCAGGCGCACACACGTGCACGCACACACAGAGCCTTGTGCTGCTAGAGAATCAGATGTATTTATGCTGAAATACCCTGCCCCTGCTGCCTAAAAATAAAAGAAACAAAACTAGTGCTTTCTTTGAGGAGACTCTTGGACTCTTAGACAAATTCTTTTCTTGAACAGTTTTTTCAACCACCCACCACCACCCTTTGTGCTATCATAAAAAAGCCTTTTTCAGTCCAAGAAATGATTACAAAGAACTGCTTCTTAATGTCTGCACTTTGTTTCCTCAGCATTAAGTCACCATCCCTGTGTTGGAGCTAAATAAGCCTGAGGATCCCTGCGTGCCTACCGGTTTGCCGAGCGCCTGCGTGCACCCCGATGGAGCGGCTTCTCGTTAATATTCTCCTTCTCAGACAGAGCGTCCACACAGGGGCTTTCCGCCTCCCTGTGCAGGCCACCCAAGCTATCAAATGCATCTGAGAGCTCCAGCTCATTTGAGAAGTGCCTGCTTCTAGGAAAGTCTTTGGCACAAGCAAAGTGCCTCCTCTTCAGCGCAGAAGTGCCCCAGGGCTCAGGCCACCCGGCTGCCAGCTGGGCTCCAGCCACTGTCGTGCACAGCCTCCCTAGAACCGGCGGCAAGGACGGTGCTGGCCTCCGCGAGGCAGGAGTGGCGGGGGGAAAGGGCACCGGACTGAGGGGTCAGGGCTCTGCACTGTGGCTCGGCTCTGCCACTGAGACCCCCTCAGAGCCCCGGCCTGCTCATCTGCAACACGGGCGATCGTCCCCACTCTCAGGGCAGGGGAAGGGCTCTGGGTGCAGTGGCCTCACCTGTCCAAACACGTAGAGCAGCCCAATTGTGCCTCCTGTCTGCCCACCGAGGACGGAGGAGATCATGGAGTAGACGCCGCCACTGCCCACGCCGCCACGCTCCCCGACGCCGATGCCAGACAGTACGGTGACAAAGGCCACCAGGATCACAAAGGACACCAGAAACATGCCCACGAGCACTCCTGTGTTTCCCTGCAGTAAAACAGCAAGGTGCGAAGTCGGGGTTAGGAGAGGTGGCCCCTCCAGACAAGACCTCCCCTCATGCCCACAGCCCTGGCATTGGGTGGGGCACAGAGCGGGGCAGCTGGAAAGGACAAAGCGAGCACCACAGGAGCTGAGGCCCAGAGGAGGTTCTAAATGAAAGGAAGTGTCTTCACTTCAGACTCTTCAATGACTCCCCGTGGCCTGTAGGGTAAAGTCAAAGCTACCTGAGATGCTCAGGAGGAGCCTCCTACTCTGTCACTCTGTGCCCTAGCAAGCAGTGACGTGATCACTCCTCCCCATGCTGAGTCCCTCCCGGAATGCCTTTCCTGCTCCTGCGTCTTTGCCAGGTTACTGCCATGTATCCTTTAAGACTCAGCGTTTAGGATTTCCTCCTGCAGGAAGCTGGCCCTGTAACCAGGCCTCTGGGCTCCCCCAGTACCTAAGGCTTAGTACTTTTCACAGTACTTGTCATGCTGAGTCTGTCCCTCAGAAGGGACACCGTGCCGCGTGTTTTACAATAGGCAGGCAAGGGCGGCTCCTGCTAGATGAGACTCCGTGGCGCTGAGTGCTGGAGAGAGAAGTAGGAGTAGGCAGAGCCAGCTTAAGAACTGAATGGCCTTAAAACGAGCTGGAAAAGTGTCCTGGGAGTCAGGGGTGCTTTGCTCCCCTGTTCATGAGATGTTCCGGGACTCCACTGCTGGTCTGGGGAGCGGAACACAGACTGCAGGAGATCAGGGCTTTTTGTCCTCCCTATTCCCACCCCCAGGATTCCTGCTACCCTGTTCCTATTAATTCCTGCTAATTCATGCAAATACTCCCGGGAATATTTGCATTTTAATTCTTATAACTGTGAACTTCATATAGACCAATTTTGGGTTTCCTTCACCTACAAAATCCCCTTCTACTGTGATATTCCCACACAATAGGCCCATGAGGAGGGAGAAATCCCTTTGCCCACTGCCCCGTCAGAGGCCACTGAGGACACGCTGCTCACCTGGCTTTGGATTTACCTGCCAGGGAGACCTGGTCCATCGCAAGAGCCAAAACCCTGCATGGTGGCCCGGGAGGAGTGGCTGCCATGAGCTGCACCCTCCCCTTCCTCTGTGGATACCCACGTTTCCTCTCTCTTAGGATTTGTTCACTTATTTTTTGGCTTGAAGTACTGTGGGCATCTTTATTAACTACCTCAAACTCCTTGGAGAATAAAACAGAATATAAATAAAATGTAGATTATGAATGGCTATACCGGGGTACTACTATAACACAGCAGTAGTCCCTACCACCCACACGAATCTTTGACATTTGCCTCTGACCGTCTGACCTAGAGTGGAGACAAGAAGCGAGGAGAGGGATCTCCCAGGGGACACTCGGGTCTAGAAGGGGCCGTGTGTCTGTGGAGAGGTGAGGCTCTGAGTCCACGCTGCATGCTGAGTGTGAGCAAACACAGCGACCTGCGCCTACCATGGGCTTAACCTCTCATGCTCAGGTTCCGCTTCTGTGAAATGGAGATGACAATGATACTTATCTTGTAGGTTGTCAGGAAATATTAAATTTTAGGAGGGTTAAATACTTTTAAAGTGCTTTGAATGCCATCTGTCATATAAGTGCTTGATAAGTCTTAGCTGCCATTATTACACAGCTTATAAATATTCTGCCTACTCAATTTCCTCTTTAATGGCGAGATGGGAATATAAGGATATCTGCAGGCCCTCGCTAGAAAATGACTGCAACGGTAATGTGGGAATGTGTACAAAAACTCAGCAATTGCCAGATGGTACACAACACTGGCGGGATTTCTGGGTAGTGGTGGCAATGCCGGGTCTGGTGGTGGTGGGACCTGGGGATGGAGAAGAACTGACAGGTGTCAACCAAAGGCCCCCCCAGCCCCAGTCCCACTCCCCGGTACAGAGAGGCTGTCGGGCTACAGGAGAGCGAGTATGACGTCTGAGCATGTCTGTCACTTATTTTGCTGACTTTATATTTTTAATGAAATCATATATTACTATTTTCTTCCTTTGTTCATGCTTTTCAGTTTTCTGCATATGATAATAAAATATCTGGTACTGATGACATCTTGCCAGAACTGCCACCATACCATTTTCCAAATTATAAGTATGCTACCAAATTATTCTTTCAAGTTAATGTTTTTTATTTTAAAATAATTTTGGCATGACCTCTACTTATTTTAATTTTATGCCATCCCTTGGAAGCTCTATCTTATTTTTGACATTTCACATTTGCCTTCATTTTCATGATTAAATATGATTTTTTGAGGTAAAACTAATGGCTGAGCTGAAAACTATAGATCATTTGGGGGCAAGAGGATGTATTTGTGTGGTAGATGGCCTCAAGGATGGCCCCCTGGAATCCCGGTGTCCTGGCATTGGTACCCTTGTATTATATAATCTCCTACCCTTTAGTTTGGGTTGGACCCAGTGACTCATTTTTTGGGGGGTATGTAAATATTTTATTAGTTATTGAAAATGATCACATTCGTTGTAATTTATTGAATAGTTTTTGAAGTGCAAAATTAGACATGTGCACACTTTGATTTTAGGCCACTTGTTTTATCCACGCAGTCATTCTAGTCACTTTTAATGACTAGAATATTTGCAGAAGTGATGGGCTGCTGCTTCTGAGATTAGGATATAAAAAGACTGTGTGGCTTCTACCTTGGGTACTTGCTCACCCTCATTTTCTCTTAGATTGCTCACCTGGGGGTGGCCAGCTGCCATGTAATGCGCCAGCCCGATGGAGAGGCCCACATGACAAGGACCAAGGCCTGGCAGCAATGACTTGAGTGACCCTGGAAACAGATCCTCCCCATGTTGACCCTTCAGATGAGACTGCAGCCCTGACTGACAGCTTGCCTGCAGCCTCATGAGGGACCTTGAGCCAGAGGTGCCCAGCTAAGTGGCACCCAGATCCCTGAACCAGGGAAACTGAGATAATACATATTTGTTGCTTTAAACTGCTAAGCGTTGGTGCAATTTGCTTTGCAGCAATAGGTAACTTATACGACTTGTACTTTCACTTTGGAGATGGAACTGACACTTCTGGATAGCCCAAGTGACAGAGCTTCCCCTGTCTTGGGCCCACAAGAGCCTCCAGGCCACCAGCTCAGCACTCACCACCAGCCAGCCAGTCCTCAAGAAAAGCACAACCCCAAAAATGTTGATCATGCAGGACGTGAAGACACCATCCCAGGTCCCAAACAGCACTGGCTCCCATACAAACAGCTGGATCTTCCACCAGGGCCAGGGCTGGGCCAGGGCCCCCTGAAAATAGAGCACACAGACGTTAGCTGAGTGGCAGTCAGGAGGGCCAGGGAGGGCAGGGGAAGGGCATGAAGTGGAGTAGCAGAGACTCGTTGTCAACCAGCCCAGTTCCCTTTCCTTCTGGCCACTCAGGTGGACTACGTTTCCCAGCCCCTTGGCGCTTTCCCCTGCACCACACTTACCTAAAGGTTACCTGTCTCCCCTAAATTTAAGTCTTTTGAGTTTCAAATTCTAACATTCTGGACTTTGCGTAACTGTAAATACATCTGCTTTACCCACAAAACGCCCTCGGCTACAGACTGCAAGTAGAAGCAATAGGTGACACTTCTACGTGAGTGTGGGATTCCGGGTTCTAGCCCAGCAGTGGTCATGAGCCCTTGTCATCCTCCAGTCCTGGGGGTGACAGCAGCCTCCAGCTGTCACTAATCTTCAGATAACCTTACTTTATACTTTTTGCTCCTTCGGCCCTTCTAACACCCTGTAATCAATCCTGTGTATCTAACTCCCTCTGTTTAAAATACCTAGAGCAGTTTCCGTTTTCCTGACGGAGCAGGTGATGTGGTGATCTCTAAGCCTCCTCCCCTCCCGACACCCCGGATGCTACAGCATCATCTGGCAGTTGTTTACAATCAGAGGCTAGTCAGTGGGCAAACAGATTCCTTGCTCATGTTTCTAATTCAGAAATAACAAAGGCACTTATAAACACTCGAATGGAAACTTTTCATAAAAAGGCTAGAACTTTGTGGAAATACTAAAATGATCTTAAACAAAACCAGTAGCAACTCACACTGCGAACGCTCTCACACAGGTTTGGTAATTAATCTAGACTCAGGCATCTGTAGAGTCTTCCAGCACCCTCGATGATGTACAACAGCAGTGATGAGTGGTTCTCAGCTGGGTGGCGTGGGGGAGGAGGGACGCACCCCGCTCAGAGTCGCTGTGCACCGAGTCTGACTGGTGATCGCATGTGATCCAGAAACACAATGAGAAGGCGTAAAGTCAAGGGTGGAGGGAAAGTCTAAGATCCAGGGTCACAGGGGCTGGGCTCCAGAGTGGCTAAGAGCGGCGGATGCGCCTGTGATCAGGGCAAGGCTGAGGCCAGCTACGCTTGCTCACAACAAAAGGGGAGGATCCCAGCTCCTCGTGCTCCTCTGGCATCATGGACTCGCAGACCAAGAAAGGGCCTCAAGAAGTAATCAGAGATCTCAATTGAGCCACGTGGGACAGATGGGCCGGGGCTTCCTTGGTGTCCCCTCTCAGTCCCTGACTGTCGTGTTCTCAATTCCACCAGAACTTTCTTTATCCACGTGTGTTACTGTCCATCCGTCTTTCACAAACCACAAATGAGGAATCTCCTAGAAGTCAGTGAGGGTGAGCGCAGAGCAAAGACTCTGCCAGCCTGTGCTTGTCCTTGAACAAATGGTACCAAGGGACCTGCTTGGTGAATGCAGGATTGTTTTCCAGGATCCTAATCACACAATTCAGGACATGGCCCAACTTCCTGTCTCTGCTTGTGTTCAACTTCCTACCATGGCTTGTTACAGGCCTATTATTTGTTAGAAACGGTAATAACAGCAACTATCAGCAACAAAAAGAGGAATAGTTTCGAGAGTGCTCTCAGCGTCCGCATCGGCTCTCTCCTTGAGTGGGGCAGGGAGGGGGCCTGCTTAGCGCTGAGGAAATGGTTCGGAGACGATTCCTGGCTACCCAGGTCTCCGGGTGGGGCTTCCATCCAGCACTCAGGTTGCACGAACCGTGCTTTCCCCTGCACCACGCTTGCCTGAAGGTTACCTGCCCTTTCTCCCCTAAATTTAAGTCTATTGGGTTTCAAATTCTAACATTCTGGACTTTGCGTAACTGTAAATACATCTGCTTTACCCATAAAACACCCTGGGTGATTTTAGAAACCTTATTCCTCTTTTTTTCATGCCTTCATCTTTCCACTCTGAAGGCTGGTTTGTTCATGTCTTGTTTACCTGGTGTAGAGAACGCCTTCCATTTCCTTGGTGTCGCTGGACTAGCAAATCAGCCTTCAGGGTACTGCACAGAGCAGGTAGAAACTCTAGGAAACCCTTTACCCTGAGAATGAAAGTATCACTGGTTTGAAATGGGTTTGGCGACTGAGCCCGGACACTTAGTTCAGGATGTGTAGGGGCGTGTGCCTGCCCTTTTCACCAAGTGACAAAGACTGTAACCAAATCTTCCCACGGTCTGTTCATCAGAGACTGGGCAGGAAGAGCCTGGGTTTGACCTCCAGGGTGCAACCCTGATGTTCTTAGAGAAACAGACACTACACAAGCCCAGTGAGAGAGAGAAGGAAGGAAAAGGAAGAAACAAAAATATAGAAAAGGAGAGGATGAGACGGAGAGCCCTAGAATAAAATGCCAAACAGTAATATAGAGACCCCGAGGGGTATTTCCCAGACCCTCCAGAAATGCCATGCTGCCTTCCGGGCACCCACGTAGAAGCACCAGGTCGGGTGTCCCCGTCCTTCTCATCGGTCCCTCGTCCAGCCTCCCCCTTGCACGATGCCATTCAGTCTCTCGCTACCGCCCAGAGTTACCCTCTTAGGAGAGCACTGGCTGGACAGTGTGACCAGCCGTCCTGCCTGTGACTACTGCAAGAGGCGGGAAGCTGGCCACTCCACCACCCAGCCCTCGCCGGGTCCTGCTGGCTCCCTGCCCTTCTCTTCAGCGCCTGCCCTGCTGGGCCGAGGGGCAGAGCGGTCTGCAGCGTGAGCACACATCCGACAGGACAGAGCGTCAGCCCCACACACGCACGGTGTCATTCACTCTCCTGAGTCCTCACGCCCGACTCCTTCCTCTCGGGGAGGGTGAGGAGTCCCCTCTCCTCTCAAATACGCCCTCCCGTGAAGCCCACGGCTGAGACGCTCCCTTAGTGCCTCCACGCAGTCGTCTCTGGGTGGGTGGAGGTTAGGCCAGTTCCGGGCCACCTCGTTAAGCCCCAGGGGAGCGGTCTGGTCCCAACTGCTGGTAGCTCTCTTTAGAACCTAGTTGTCCTAGATTTGGGCCCCAGTCCTCAATTCCAGCGTAAGGAGACTCCCATTCAACACTGTGCTTCACAGACACAGCAGGCTGGGGGCGGTGGCAGTAGGATGTGCGCCACGCCTAGTATGGAGCCTGCTGGGAAGCAGAGATGGAGGCTGAGGAGGACAAAAAAATGAGGAACAAATCAGTCCCTCAGAAAGGGCTCCACAAAACAAGCTCAAGGGCAAGGCTCCTCTCTTCCCTGAGGACCTCAGCCTGGCAGGGGCAAGCTTGACAGGTCCCAGGGGCGCAGCAACTTGGAGCTCAGCCCCAGGGTGACCACCTCTCCTGCTGCCCGAGCCCCCAGGACAAGAAGCCAGGCGCCTGTCCCTCTGAGCCCAGGGGCCTGCCCCCCACACTGGGAACACCATGATTGCCACTAGGTGTTTTTAGTTCAGAGGAGTCTTTCTCTTGCGAATAGAGAATTTCTAAACTTGAACAGGGGGTCAAGAAAGGCAGGGAAATTGCCTCTGAGTAGGAAATACCCTCCTTCCTGTGCCCAGCAGGCTGAGCTGAGCAAGAGACAGGAACGTCTGCCAAAGGCAACGACGTGAGCTCATGCCCGGGGCTTTTTTGCCTCAAACAGCCACCTGCAAGGCCTCAATGAACACATCCGAATGTGAGGTGACGCCTTTCTTTCTTTGGGCAGCTGGAGGAAAAGAAACCAGGTGAGAAACTCTGCTTCTGTCCACCCAGGTTAGGGGCAGTTCAAAGCCAGACATGGCCTGCTCTTCCTTCCAGACATCGTACACCTGCAGACTGCGTCTACCTGGATTACACACATGTGAACAGCAGCTTGCTTTCTGAAAGTTAATTATCTAATTATTAATGAAATGTCAGAGAATATGCCCAAGCTGCTGCTGAACTGTGATCTGGGGGCAGAGTGGGGAGCTTCGTTCCTTTTCCCTGGCCCTGAACAGGTACCACATGCTGGGCCACAGTAGCCGGGAGCTGGGCAGGGGGTCCGCATGGCCGTGGGCTCCATGGGCCAGAGCCCACCTGTGGTACCTGCATAAAATGCAGATGGCCACATACCTGTATCATGGGGTTTTTGTAAAGTTTAGATGAGATGATAATTGTGAAAGCTTTGTGTAAGCATGAAACACAACAGACGATTTTTAATGTGGGTGAGGATCTCTTCAGGGAAGTTGGAAGGAAGGCAAAGAAAAGTCTTACTGATTGTGCACTTGCTGTGTTCCCCAGCTAACGTGTCCTCATGTCTAAGGTGGAAGCTTGCTCCATCCCTCAGCCCTGAAAGCTTCCTCTCCCTGCCCTGCCCAGTCCAGAACGACCTCCAGGGGCTGCTCCGCCACCCCAGCTGCTGCCAGAAATGGCAATGGCTCTGCAGCAGAGGCGGCGAGGACCCAGTGAGGTGGTCAAAGCCTGGTTTCCCTGGATTAGGATCTGGGCAGCACCCTCCGTCTATGTGGATTTAGCTGTTCCTAGAAACGTGAGGTCTTCTTGCAGTGTTGGTCTCTTCTGCTGCAGAACTAATATGAGAGCCGGTATCTAAATCCAGTGGTTCCTGCATGGTTGGCTTGTGCTTTCTCCATGCCTGCGCATCTGCACACTTGTCCAAGCCTGGGACTCTCCCAAGGGCACAGCCTGGTCACACAACGACACAGCCCCAGGAGTGGCAAGACACGCAGACACTGTGAAAACATGGATGCCAATGTGGAAACCCTGAGAGTTCTGCCTCCTGGGACCACAAAGAAGCTCCGTCTCCAAGAGTTCTTTTGCCTCGGAACACAGAGCCCAGAGACACTCGTGCGCTCTGCATACCTGATACCATTCCACAAATGACAAACCCACTGCGGCAATGCCATGGCCATCTAAACAAGAGCTTCCCCTGCCCTTCCCAACCTCTTGGCAAAAGGCAGAGACTTTCCTGCAGGACTCAGGCTGCTGCTAGGACGTCTACCTGGATTTAACATAGGAGGAGCGACATGGACA